GCCGGGGACACCGTAGCCAGCGGAGGCAGACACAGCCCATGTCCCTGGGAACACAGGATGGCTGGAAACCACGGGCTGAGGGTCAGGGAAGGTCCTGAGCTCGAGGCGCACTCTGAAACCTGGGGCTCAGCAGAGGGAACCTGGGGAACAGGAGACATACGGGCAGCCGAAGCCATCGCGCAGAGACCACAGGGCAAGAAAGCACGACAGCAGGGGCCACCAGGCACAGGAAGGAGACGGAGGCAGAGGCCACACGACCAAGACACACAGCCAGGTCGGCCGAAAACAGACACGGGCCAGCCGGTCAGCAGTCAGCCTCAGCACCCCCAGCCAGTGATGGTGGTGACTTGCACATCTGGTACCTCTCAGAGTCACAAATGTCACCTCTACTTCCTGCTAAACAGAGTCTAAATGGCCTCCTTAGCCCGGCACACCCCTTGATCCCAGGAGGCTGAAGCAGAGGATCACAAGTTCAAGGCCAGCCCCGGCAACTTAGCAAGGTCCTGTCTCAAAATAAAATAGGCTGAGAGAGTGGCTCAGTGGTTAAGCACCCCTGGGTTCAGTCTCCTGTATCAAAAAGAACTTTTTTAATAAAAAGTAAATAATAAAATGGCCTCCTTTAATCTTTTTATTTATTTATTTATTTTTGCATTACAATTCTTTTTTTTTTTTAATTTCTCTAGGGCATTAATTGATCCAGCTCACTGCCTTCATAACCTGGAATTTATTCATTATAACACTTAATTGTACAGCATTTTCATCATGGCTCTATTTTTTTTTAGAGAGAGAGAGAGAGAGAATTTTTTTAATATTTATTTTTTAGTTTTCAGCGGACACAACATCTTTGTATGTGGTGCTGAGGATCGAACCCGGGCCGCACACATGCCAGGCGATTGCGCTACCGCTTGAGCCACATCCCCAGCCCCTGCATTACAATTCTTAATACACCATTATACCATAATTTATCATATCTCTGATTATATATATAAGGTATGTTGACACCAAATTCACATAGTCACACATGTATTTTGTTTAATGAAGAGGGCCTCCTTTAATCTTGAAGGGCTGGTTCCGTTCTTGGACAAGGATTTGGTGCACCAGCCCAGGTTTGCTTCTTTGTGTGATTTCCATCCCTCTCATAGCAATAGCTCCTTAGCTGGTTTCATTTTCTCCCCCAAAATAATTCTCACTATTAAGTATGATGTTAGCTTTTTTTATTATTATTATCTTTACTGAGTTTAACAAGTTTCCCTGTATTCCTAGTTTACTGAGAGTTTTGTCATGAGTGTTGAATTTTGTCAAATGCTTTTCCTGTACCTATCTACACCATCATGATCATGTGACGTTTTTCTTTAGCCTACTAATGTGTGATGGATTATATTAATTGATTTCCAAATGTTGAACCAGCCTTGCGCACCTGGAATAAATCCCACTTAGTCATGGAGTATAATTCTTTTTTCTTTAGATTCAATATACTGATATTTTGTAGAGGATTTTTGCATTTATGTTCACCAGACATATTGGTCTATGGTTTTCTTGTAATGCCTTTGTCACTCACCAAAGAAGAGATGCAGATGGCAAATAAGCAGAGGAAGAGATGTTACACATCATGTTGTCAGGGAAGTGCAGCCTAAAATGAGATGGCACTTTAACACCTGTTCAGGTGGCCAAAATCCAAAACTCTGATCCCTCCAAAGGCCAGCAAGGATGTGGAGCAACTCTGGCTCCCAGTCATTGCTGGTGGGGGTGCAGGATGGCTCAGCCACCTTGGAAGAAAGCTGGGAAGATTCCTACAAAACTAAACAAACTCTCACAGTGAAATCCACAGTGCATCCCGTGGTATCTTCTCAAAGGAGATGAAAAGTCACATCCACGCAAAGACTCCTCACAGGGGTTCATAACTGCGGCCACCTGGAAGTAACAGAGTGTCCGCTAGCAGACACGTGAGCCCTGTGGCACATGCACACAGTGGAAGTTCCTCAGCACTTCAGTGGGTCTGGAACCCTGAGGAGAGGGCGCCACGTGGAAGGCACCAGTCTGAGAAGGCTGTGCGCTATGAGGCATCGAACCAAGGACTTTCTGGAAACGCAGAACCCTGGACGCAGTAAAAGATCAGTGGTGCCAGGGAGGGGTGACGAGGCAGAGCACAGGGGCAGGGGAGGAAAACGACCTGCATGCCACTGTGAGGGCAGGCGCATGTCACTGTGACTCTGTCCACAGAACCAAAACACTAAGAGTGGCTCTCATGTAGACCCCAGACTGAGGGACAGTGCTGGGTTGGAGCAGGCTCTTCGGCGTAGGTACGACACTGGGGCGGGGATGGTGGCAACTGGTGGTGTCTGCCTGTAAGGGTGCAGAGGATGTATGGGAAATCTCCATCTTCTGCTGATTTTCGCTGAAAACCTAAAATTGCTTTGAAAAAAATAAAGTTGAATTCAAAAATCAAAGCATTTTCTTTAGAAAAAAATTTTAAAACTATCACCTAAAATTTTAAGTCCAACCAAAAAATCTTTCAAAGTAAAGGCAAGTAGTTTTTTCAGACAAACAAAAGCAGAGAAAATCCAACACTATCAGAACTAAATTCAAAAATTATTAAAGGTGGTTATCTGTAGGCAGAATAAAGTGGCATCTTTGGATCTATTCGAGGCAACCACAGAAAATGGTAAATATGTGGGAAAATATCATACTTTTTTCTTATTTTTTAATCTTTCCAAAAGATAAGTGTGTGAAGCCAAAATAACAATGTATTGTGGAATTCACAACACGTAGAAATAAAGTGTGTGGTGGTCTCATGGGACACCAAGCGGGAGGCTCTTAAGCCATGCTGCATTACTCAAGGTAGACGGTGGTATGTTACAGATGCGTATTGGAGACAGACCCGAGAGCCAGCACTAGTAAAGCAGAGGTGTAATAAGCTAATAAGGAAAACCTAGAAGAAAAGAAAATCTCTATTATCCAAAAAAAAAACTCAGGAAAAGAGGGGAAAGGAACAAATGGGGTAAGACCTAGGAGACAAACAGCCTAGCAACAACTTAATGAGAGTTTTTTTAGAGCAGGGCTAACTATGTGCCGTCTACAAGAGAGCCACTCTAGATACAAAGGGACAGGCAGGTTGGAAGTGCAAGTCCGACCCCATTTTAAAAATGTTTGGCTACTGCTAGTTTGGATCATTTGGTGGGGGCAGGGGATTGAACCCAGGAGGGCTTTCCCACTGAGCCACATCCCCAGCCCTTTGTACTGAGACAGGACCTTGCTAAGTTGCTCAGGCTGGCCCGGGATCACAGTGCCTCAGGAGGCTGAGACAGGAGGATTCGTGTTGTTGAAGGCTTGGTCTTCAGAGCAGTGCTACTGACAGGTGGTAAGGCTATGCTGCACGAAGATAAAACCGAACAGATGGAAGAGGGACAGTGAAAACACATAATCGACATTTGCTCACGAACTGACGGCAGTGAGGTAGAGCACCAGCACCTCCATCAACCTGCTTGACTGAGCTGGTACCCACCAAGCACTCCACCCAACGGTGGAGCACACATCCTTTCAAAGTCCACAGGGGCGTTCATCAGGACAGACCAAGGTGCTGGCCATAAACAAGGCCCAGTGAATATAAAAGGATGGAGTCAGTATATCAGTCCCATCTGTAAATGACCACAGCCATTAGAATAGGCTTGTCTCTGCACTGCACCTATCTATGTTACACGTCCTGCTTATTGCGTTGGCTCACACAAGCAGAGGCTGGGCAGTCCCACGGTGGTTGTCTGCACCTGGAGCCAGGGAAACCAATAGCTGCTCCAACCAAGAAAGAGGAAGCCTCAGGGCAAGAGGTTCCAGTGCTGCAGCCCCGGCTGGTGGTCCTGGAGAGCCACCCAGAGTCCAGGATGAGGGCTGAAGCGGAGGCTGACGCCACGGCATGGCAGCAGCCCACCCACCCGAGAAGAACCAAGCTCACCAAGCTGGGGCTCCTCCACCGGCTCCACAGGCCCGGTCTGTCGGACAGTGCGGGTGGCCCTCCCAGTTGGCCAGCCCACATGTCAGTCATCTCCATAAGCTCTCTCTGACACACCCAGAAGTGTGCTTTACTGGATTGCTGGGCATCTCATTCCAAGCTGCCAATCAAGATTAACTATCACACATATGGTCTCTGACGACAGTGAAATAAATTCACTTTCCTGGTAACTGTACAGTCTTCATTTGATTTAGTGATTCCTGGAAATCTAAAATAGATACTTGGAAAGAAAGTCCTTAAAATGTTTAGAAATTAAATATACTTCTAAGTAATCAATGGATCAACAACGATATCACAGGAAAATAAGAAAAAATACTGAACTGAATTAAAATAACCAAACAACTGAGTCTTGCTAATCACAGGCTGCCGGCTGATTAGAACATATCCACGTCAGGCAAATGCCAACTGTGTGTGACCAAGCTTGGTTTTGTGTTATCCCTTCCTCTTCTCTGGCCATAAATACAACTCCACACTTGGTGGGGTGCCAGGGGTGGGATGTTCCATACATCTTTCTGCTGATTAATTTGATAAACTACTTTATATAAAATAAGTAAACCAGTTACATACGCAGGAATATTCCAAAATAAACACTTAAATTTTCTTACCCTTTGAAAACCTCAAAACTGTCCTTAGACCCAAGTTAAACCCCAAATCACTTGAAAAAGAAGACTACATATCATTTGGGGGAGAGCGGGCCTTTTAAGTGCCTACAATGTGTACTACACACTCAGAATTCAGGTCAAAGGGCTGGGGTTGTGGCTCAGCGGTAGAGCGCTCGCCTAGCACGGGCGGGACCAGGGTTAGATCCTCAGCACCACATAAAAATAAAGGCATTGTGTTGTGTCCATCTACATCTAAAAATATAATAAATGTTTTTTTTTTTTTTTTTAAAAGAATTCAGGTTAAAGGTGTGGTCTTTTCTGATAGTTGTACAATCTTCATTGGGTCTAGGGATTCCTGGAAAACCAGACACAAATAAGAGACAACACTCAGTTTCTTAAGATCATCACACTACCATTTATTGGGGAATGATAATTGTGACAGAAGGAAGAGGAAAGAGCTTAGTTACCAGCGACACTCTCTCTGAAATAGGTTAGTCAAAAGAAAACAATATTATATGAAATAGATTCCCAAGAATATGTTTTTGGATACAAAAATTCAGTTATCAATAAGTAGCATTCAAAATTAGTAAATTCAGTTATCAATAAGTAGCATTCAAAATTAGTTGTAGCTATACAATTATAAAAAACTGATTCATGTTGTAACAAAGTTTTCTAAAAGCTCATCGTGTTAGAACAGGCATGTTGCAGTGTTCTGAGGCACACAAATTCACCAAAGGTTTTTTGGGGTTTTTTTTGGTGGTGCTGGGAGTTGAACCAGCGTCTGGCACAGGCTAGGCAAGTGCTCTACCACTGCGCCACACCCGAGCCCTCTCCATAGGTGTCTGAACACCCTCAGTCCCAACTTCACATCCAGAATTTACACAAACAACAAAAGATCAGAGTTCAGAGGGTTTTTTTCTTTTTCCTTTCCTTATTCAAGGTTGCTAAGTAAGTCAAGCAAATACATAGAAAAAGGCAAAATGAATACTTTTCATAGCAGAAAGATCACAAAGTCCAATGTAAACTCATTTCCTGTTGTAGTAGGACCCTTGACAGGCAGAGCAAACTGGCCCAGCGCCAGCCTCCATTTGTCCTCTAAAGACCTCACAGAGATGCTCTGCCCGGACACCCGGCCTGTTGACATTGGGGACCATTTGTGCTTTTGCTGCTGCTATTTTGGCTCTGTGGCTGCTTATCAAACGCAGTGCTGTCGTGTTGGGAACACACACATCCTCACTGTCGCGCTGTGTGGACTGACCCCATTCCCCAGCACAGCTGCTGCTGTGCACCGGCTGCTTCCCTGGTTGCCCATCAGCTTGTCTATAGAAAACAGCTTTGAAGCCTGGGGTCACTACCAGCTCCTGCTGGAAAGGCTGCCGGCCCCTCACCTGACTGCCGCAGAACCCGACTAACCAGGGTCTCGCTCCAGGTCAGGCTGGGAGGGCTGCGGAGCATCATCCCCGCGTCAAGAAATACCCAAGTGCAACTGAACGTCCTGAGTGGACCCAGGTCACATGAATCCCCTGCACTTTCCTCTTCACCGGACCAAAAACACTGGATTCCAGGACTGCACAGAATTCTGAGTTGGAAAGTACCTTGATGGATCACCTCCTAACCAACCTCTCAAGCAAAACTCTAGACCTCTAGGTTGTTTGGTGTTGGGGGGGGGGGGGGACAGCAGGTTTCAGGGGTTAAACAAACAGATCTGTATTTAATTTGAGTTGAGGAACAATTTGCTTTTTTAAAAATACTATCTGTAAACTCTTGCATGTGTCAAAATTACAAAAATAAATATCTTAGATGTGCGAATTTTAAAACTATGCTAAAAGCTCTAGTAGATGGTTTCATGTACCTTTGAACAGTTGAATATTTTTTTTATGTGCTCAAATGAGGTTTTATATTATGTTGTGAATCAAGTATCTGTCATAATCCCACAGGTGACTCTGGTCAGACGTCATCTGAGAGATGAGGGAGGCCTGGTGCAGGCTGTCGCATGGGATCGAGAACCCATGGCCTCAGGGCCTTGCTCTAGCTCTTCAGGGACACTGTGGCTCCTGCCCTGTTCACAGGGCCATCAGAAGCGGATGCCACACTGGCCAACCCCACACCTTTCTCAAGGTGAGGCCCACTTGCTAACTTTTCTTTCTGTGGAGGAATCAAAAGGTAATTCCATTGTTTCCGGCTCCCTTGGCGTACAGTGATTGGCAGAGGGAAGTGGCACTCGGGCAGATGAGCCACGAGTCACCATACGAGTGTGCTGGGTCCGACTCCAGCACTGAGAGATCACCCCGGGAACACGCCGCGTCTGCACAGCAGCCACTCAGAGGAGGAGAACCAGAGTGAGGCAGAGGCGGGAGCAGGAACTTGGTGCCTCCCTTGCCTGGTACCGAACAGGCACCCTCAGAGCCCGGAGCAGGAGAGGGGGCCTAGGGCACTTGGCTGCAGGGCAGAGCCCCTCCCAGCGCAGCGCTCACAGAGCCCTGGGAGGGAGCTCACAGGGAGCCTCTGCCAGGACTTCTCACACGTGGGGAGCACAGCCTGAACAAGCAAGCATGGCCACCACAGGAGAACCACCTGATGGCCCCCCCTCCTCAAATGCAGCGGTGCCTCCTCTGCCCAGCAGTGAAGGGGGCAGGGACCAGAGCAGGGAGCAAATAAGTCCACGAGGAGCCTCAGGACTACAACCCACTGTGAACCTCCCCTCGCCCGCTGGGTTGTGTCCACCCATGGGGGGCTTGGTACAGACGGCAGCAGAGGGGAAGTGGGTTTCTTCCTCCAAACAAAGGCAAACAAACAAGGAGGCACCGCAGGAAAAGTGGGGGGTGAGTCTGCAGGTCCGGGAGGCAGCACATCCCAAAGCTGCTCAGCACTCTCACGGGGCTGTCTGGGCAAACCAGCCACGGCCACGGCAGTTAGGGAGAAGCCTGGCTCCTGCGAGGCCTCTGCCCAGGACGTGCCCTGGTGCCCTTGCCGGTGGGAGGTGGGACTCTCCCCGGCGCTGCTGCTTCTCTGTCATCATGGGAACAACAGCAACAGTCACTGTGCACATCAGTGAGAGGACACACAGTACCAAGCGTCAGTCAGATAAGCTCACGGCCACATGCTCACCCTGCCACTGCCAGGGTCACCAGTATTCATTCCTCAGATTCAACAGTAACGCCTGCCCTTCACAGAGGGGGCTCGAGCCAGCTGGGCCCTGCCGCACCTCCCTCCAGCATCCTGCGATGCGCCAGCAGGAAGCATCGTCCTCGCCCTGTGTCCAGAGATGGAGAACGACACTATACACAACTCGGTCAACAGGACACTCGTCTGTGACTAGCCCAGCTCACACCCAGACCCCTGTGACTTCTAAGCTGCATTCACTGCCACTGTGCTGGACAGCCTGGTGACACCTTGAAAGGCATCTCAGAAAGGGCAAGGAGGGGTCATCACTCCAGCCCACTGAGGCCAACCCCATATCTCACATCATCTATAAGAGAAGGACCCCGACCTCCCCATGTCCTTCTGGGGTCTGAACTGTCTCCCAGAAGAACTGGGACATGAATACACCCCACAAAAGCCAGAGGGTAGCACGTGTCTCCCCTCCTGGCTCAGGGCAGGTGGAAGACAGCAGTGCCTTCGGCAGCCTGGGAAGGGCCTGCAAGATGGCCTGCCTCTGCCGTCAGCCCTGCTCTGACCTCTCCAGCCACAGGCAGAACCCAGGCAGCCTGAGCTCACTGCCCCAAGCAAACAGCCAGCCAGTGGCCACTGCCTTTGGTGTGGAGGTGCTGGAGCACAGCCCAGGTGACAGCCAAGAGGAAAACCCAGAGAGCCTTCATCTGAGGGTGGGCCTGGAGGTCCTGGGGTGCCAGGGACTCCGGCTGATCCAGACAGGCCCTGCTGATGGTCAGGTGGCATAGAGCAGCTGAGAGGGTACACCAGGGACCAGCAAATGCCCTAGAGACCCAGGAGGAGACGGTCACAAAGGACGGGGTGTGGCAGGCAGGAGACGGCACAGGTGGCATAAGACACTGGAGCCAGGGAGGCAGGGGCCAGGCTGAAGAAGGCAGGGCGAGTCCTAGGAGGTCGGGGAGGTGTGCCCGGTGTGCCCAGCCTGTCCAGCCCTGCCCTCGGGAGGTGGAGGCTGGTCCAGTTTCCCAGCTGCGCAGGGGAGACAGGCCTGCTGCTCACAAGCCCCTTGTGAGGACCAGAAAGCCCCACAAACATGGAAGCACACTGCACATGGTTGGGTGTGAGCTAAGACCTGATCACCTGCAGCCCAGTGTCCTCCCAGTGCCCCCAGCACTGCCGAGGGCCAATACAGGGACCGCCTGAGGGTGGCTGGGCAGGCATGCCGGCCTCCTGCCCTCCCAGCAGGAATCTGTCTTCTCACCCGCTCTGCCCGGGCTCCACTGCAGGGGCGGACAGAAAATAAAATCAACTTAAAAGCAAACACCTAGGAATAATCAAGAAAAAATACAGCAGGAAGCAGCCAGCTTTTCACCTCCTGTCGACCCCGGCCACAGGACGCGGCAGTGTCTGCTACTGCTGCTGCTCTCCCTCCACCTCGTGCTAGCAAGTCGTAAGGACAGAAGCGAGCTGGGGGACAGGGGACCCCGGAGACGAGGAGTCTGCGCCAGACGCAGGAGAAGTCGTTCCACAGCCAGGTGCTTCACAACAGCAGGAGTGCCCAAGTCCGGGAGGCAGCAGCGCGTCTCGCCAGAAGGGGCCCCACTCCCCTCCACGGCCAGGCTCGCCAGGACCCAGGTAGCACAGAACACCCATCTGGGTTCCCAGGGCAGAAGCCAGTCCAGGCTGGGGGAGGCAGCAGCACCAGGCCCCGGGCGGAGGGACAAGTCTGCAAAGGCCTCGTTGGCCCCGCCATTCTGTCCCTACCTCCCCCCGAGGCCTCCCCAGGGCTCATCTGCTGATGTTTAACCAGGTTTTTTTATTTAGGGGAATTCAGTGGGTCAGCATCCAAAGAGGAGCAGGTGTGAGAGGAAGACTCGGCTGTACGAGGTGCAGAACCCACCTGTGACTCTGTGCCACAGCTTCGGGGTGGGAGCATAACCGCTTCCCAAGGCAAACCCTCAGGTGTTGAGATGCGGGATAAAGGCACGTGTCTCCCAGACACAGGTTTGGGGGCTATTTACAAAGATGTCCACCAGCTTCCACACCTGGTGCCTTCCAGAGCTCTGCAGACCTGGCAGCATATCATGCAAGACACACGGCAAAACACTTCTTCACAGCATCCCTAGGAAGGAAAGAACACAAAGATGAATGGGACATCACTACCCCTAGGCGCCTGCCCGTGAGAGCCCCTGCTTGAGAGTCTCCTAGGCCCAGAGTCTCCGAGAGGCCCGCTGGACCGGGCAGACCTACTGGCGGCCACCGCCGTCCAACGTTCACTGGGAGGCCTCTGCTGGGCAGGTGACTAGTCCTGCTGGGGTTGCGATTCCTCACCCCTCAGAGGGGATAAGCCCACTTCCCTGCTCCCCTCTGTGGACATCAGTGCACTGCACAGAATGGGCACTTGGAAATGACAGCTGTCATTGTAATCAGAGCCAGACAGGCAGGTGGACAGTGCAGACTGTCGGAACCAAAGCGGTTTCATCAGCCGCAATCACAGAATGCACCAAAAACAAGCCAGTCGCTGGGGCCCCGCTTCCTTCCAAGCTAGCAGCAGTGACCTTTCGAGGGACACCTCTGAGGAGCAGCCTCACACAGGGTGTTTCCCACAGGCACCAAGCACCTGCCAACAGGCTCATTCACTCCTTGGAATTCGATGCAGAAAGCACGAGGAAAGAGCCGTACTCAGAGCCCAGCAAGCTCTCTGCACCCCGCCCACCTCACTGCACGCGTCACACCAGGTCCTCGTCCCCACCTGCACCACGCACACCTGCACACCGTCATGTGAGGCAGAGAGGTGAGGGGGGCACTGTGTGTCAACACGGAGGTGACTGTGGGCAGCACTTCCTAAGACACATTCCGCTGAAGTCCCAGAAGTCATGGGACCCCTCACGCGGCTCACAGGCAGACAAGGGCTCTGGAAGGCTGGACAATGCAAGCCATCTGGCTTATAGTATTTCCCAGTTACAAGGTCAGGGAACCCTTCTCTTCCAGGTAAACAGCACTTTCTGAGGAGCACTGGGTAGAGGCTATACAGGCGGGTGACACTCAGCCTTGTGATTCTCCTCGACACTGGGGGGCTTCATCTGCTCCACGCAGGAAACTCACCGCTGCCAACAGAATGCCCTCGTGCTGCCTACCCGTCCCTCAGAAGGCCCACAGGTGCCAATCTAGGCCAAGTGGAAAGGCCCGAGAAAGACACCGAGCAAGGCAGCTTCACGGTGAGACCTGCGCAACTGGGCCCTGAACCAGGAGAGTCCAGTCTCGTGGGTGCCCTCTTGTCACCTCGTGACCTCCTTCATCGTGTCCGAGTTAGGCGCCCAAGCCTTCATTCTGCACTGGGGCCTGCCAACGAGGGAGCTGCTCCAGGCCCCAGGTGGACCCGGCTTGGACGCTCAGACCTGGTGGGCTCCGGCCATCTCCACTACAGACCTAGCAGCCACGGCATCCCTGCCCACACTCATCGGACAAGCCACGGCCCCCAAAACTGCAAAGCCGCCTGGAGCACCTCACCACCGTCATGCTCCCGGGTTCTAGGTGCCACGTCCCCGGCTGCTGTAGCTCGATGGCTTGTTAGTGCCTCACCCCGGGGTCACGCCCAGCTCCTCCACGCCGCTGTCCGCAAAAGACCCGGGACGCGGGAGGTGCCATGCTGCCCTGCCTCTTTCCCAGCTCACCCAGGACACGAGCAGGGAGAAGGTGGCCTTCGGTGACCAGGTAATGACGGAGGAGAACGGAAACCAATGGCCGCATGAGAACAGTTGGAGGCAAAGACCCCAAAGGCCGGTCTTGAGAAGCCCCATAGAAAGGGCTTGTGCAAGGCGCCTGGGCTCGGGGGACCTCCAGACCAGAAGGGCCTCTGGGGACCACCGCCCAGCCTCTCTGGTTACCAAGGCACTACCAGCCAGAAGGCCTGGTCCTCTGGCCCTGCCTCTGCTCACGCTCTCCCTTCATCAACTCCTTGGAAACTCCCTCATAAGTGGGACACCACAAGGAAACAGCACGATTCCAGACCCCGCCTCCCGCCCAGGGATTTAAATCAGTGCTCACCTCTGAAAAAACAGAACTATACCCAAAGGACGGCATACTACAGGGACACAGCCACATCAATGTTTACAGCAGCATAATTCACAACAGCTAAACTGTGGAGCCAGCCTAGACACCCCTAGAAAACCAACCTAGAAAACGTGCCACATCTACACAACGGAATATTACTCAGCAATAAAAGAGAATAAAATCATGGCATTTGCAGGTAAGTGGTTGGAGCTGGAGAAGATGATGCTAAGTGAAGTTAGCCAATCCCCAAAAACAAATGCCAAATGTTTTCTCTGATATAAAGAGGCTGACTCATAGTGGGGTAGGGAGCAGGACCAAGGGAGGAATAGACGAACTCTAGATAAGGCAGAGGCGTGGGAGGGGAAGGGAGGGGGCATGGGGTATTAATGATGGTGGAATGTGATGGACATTATAATCCAAAGTACAGGTATAAAGACACAAATTGGTGTGAATACACTGTGTATACAACCAGAAAGATGAAAAATTGTGCTCTATATGTGTAGTATGAATTGTAATGCATTCCGTGTCATATATATAATAAATAAACAAACAAAAGAGCCTACTCAAAGCTACAGGTTAAAAGGGTGATAACGTATACACACACATTTCATATTACAGTGAGAAGCTCACCCAACCAGCAGCCGGCAGGCTGGGAGCACCTCACTGGGGTATAATTGGGGTGGGTGGAGGGTGGCCCTGACTTATTAATCTATGAAACAGATATAAGCCTTTGCCTATTTGGCTCAAATAATTTTAATAAAGATAAATAAAATAGCATGTACTCTCTGTAATTAATCTTTTAAGGCCCTACACAAACATATCATTGTTCACAAATGACAAAAGTTATATTTCCAAATACACCATTAGTCTTACCTTGCAAATGGTATGAAGGACAGGCTGTACCTGCAACGGAGAACAAAGGTCAGGAGAGCAAAGGTCAGACGGAATGCACAGTGCTCCTGAGTGCCAGGAGCACCAACATGCCCTCCCCAGACCGCTCCATCCCGTGGCCCAGGGAGTGAACACACATGCACGTGTGCACACACACCAAGCCAGAGCTAGGTGGCCACAGAAGGGGGCAGAAGACCATGTGGAGATAAGCCCTCCGACCTCAGCCTCACTGGGGTGCTACTTTAATCAAATGAGCCAGCAGTGAGCACCTAAAAGACACAGATTCCAGACACCCAGGTGGCACGGACGCCCTGTTCTAGAAGAACTTCAGATAACATCCACAACAGCTATCCTCTAAAATTTTATAATGTTAACTTTGACCCAACTGAGACGGACTGTCTGGTGTGCTCCTATAATTAAAAAGAAACAGGAAAGACCAAAGTAAAGAGCCCCCCTACTCCCTGGATGAGCATGCATCAGGCTATGATTGTTCAAGTCCCAAGTCATCTTGGCAGGGCCAGTTAGCCCGGCCACAGCGGGGAAGGGAGCCGCGCAGAAGGCTGAGCAGCCCTACACGACCAGGTGTGTGTGTCGGGTCACGTCATTCACTCAGCCATGTGACTGCTACCCTTGGAAAGTGACTTCACAAGCAAAAGTCCAAGGCAAAAGGAATGTGTGTACATGGCTACCGATTTCTGCACCCAGAATAAAACCAAAATGTAAACATGAGCCACCAAACCAGGCCCTTCAGCACCCACTAGCCAAACGTGTCACATTAAAATCAGATGGCACTCTGCTGCATACCTCGCCCTGTCCATGCACACGAGCACAATCACTCATGAACACGGTGCTTCCAAAGGCAGTGGGAAGCATATTTATTCAGAAGTCCACATCACAGAAGGGGGACGGGGGCTGGGTTCAGTCTCCAGGCCCATTTCTACCGAGTGGTTCACTGATCTTGGGGAACCGTAAGACACCCACAGTCCTCTCTGTGCCGTTCACTACAGTGAACATTTCTTCCCAAGAGATCAGTCATACCTACAGTGAACCTGACATGCAGATTTCACCCCTGAATGCATCCCAGGAGCATCTCGGGACCACAGAGCCCACCTGGGCCGCCTCCCCTCACTCTGATGGTGTGTGGGGTGGAGAAGCTGTGAACCCACAGCGCCACTCATGGTTTTAAAACCACGCCTCCAGTCGCCCTTCTGCTATGCTCGGCCCTTGGTACATCTTCCAGTCTTCAACTGAACTTCCAAAAGCGGCAGGCCCCAGGGCCTGCACTGACCCTGCCGCCCACAGCCACCCGGTTTTCCATTTCGTCAGCCGCTGCTCCTCGGCTCCCGCTGACAATTCCCTTTGTCCTTGTGTACATGATTCACTCCATCACAAGTGTGTCACTCATTCATTCTCTCACCACTTTCCTTTTCTTCTATTTGACTCAGAGCCTCTTGTGACCAGCCCTCAGATACTTTCATTGTCCTTGTACTTAGGGGACATGAGTGGCTTCATAACATTTGTACAGCACAATCAGCCCTGAGCTCAGTGGACAGCCTCGGGCCACTCGGGACCTCTGCCGCCATCTACTGGCGGTGGGCGGGCGAGGGCTTCTGCTCTGGAGCCCAGGCCTCACTGAGAATTCTTCCTCCTGCACTCCCAGCCTCCCCCTGGACACGTGGCCTCGCCTCCTGGAGCAGCGTCAGTCAGGGGTCTGCGTGGGAGAGCACTGCTAAAAGGTCACTCACCACGTCAAGGACAAGGACTGCAGGATGCAGAAGATGAGCGCCAGTCCCTTGTTGTGCCACTGAAAGGAAAACAAGGAGGTCACAGAAAGGCACGAGGCGGGGTGGAAGCCACGGGGTTCTGGGAAGTCCAGGCCACACTTACCCAAAAGGCGGAACACAGGGTGAGGGCGAAGCACAGCTGCAGGGAGAGAGGGACACCGTGAGCAAGACCAGGACACACGGCCAGAGAAAGCCCATGAAGACGGGGCTCCTGACCAGCCCCAGCAGGCGTCAGGCCACGGGCATCACGGCCACCACACACGACCCTCACCTCAAAGCAGCACTCAACCTGCTGAGCATCCACACCTGGCACAGTTAAACCCCAGGAAACCAAGTCTCCCAGCAAGATCTGCACAGGTCACAAAGAGAAAGACGCTCTGACACGTTGACGTCTCCCCGGGATCTGCCCCCGGCCCACGGAAGTCACATTCTGGCCCACGCACACACCATCGTCTGCTCCCCCGAACACCCTGAGTGCGCCTCACAGAAAGACTCTATTCTAACTCTTCCCCAAGTCGTCCCTGGAGTAGACAGGGCGCGATAACAAAGGTCATCAGGAGATGTCCATCGCATCAGCAAGCCAGCTCCCTGTGTACATGTCACCTGACACTTTCCCTAGTACCTTAGAGAGCTCTTCCCATAGAGGCTGTCCCAGCCAGCTGCACCTGGGGCTGGCCTAGAGCAAATGGCACCTGAGCCACCAGCCATGGCTTTCACCTCACATCTATGACAAGGTGTCCTAACCACGTTCTGTGTCCAGCAATGTGCCTGGTGCCCTGAAGGGACCAAACAGCAAATGCATCCCTGGCCTCAGAGCACTTACCTATCTGAATAAGTGAAATGCATACAAATGAAACTAAAAATAAAAGTATGTCGATCAAGGTCCTAATGTGGCCAGAGAGGAGGTCTGGGATGATTTTTGTCAGCCACACAGAAAACTAGATCCAAGAGAGAGGAATTCCAGGTGGAGGGGACAGGAAGCAATGACAAAATGCAGGCAGCTCTGCCAGAGCTGGGCACAAGGACAATAGGCCACAGATAGCCCACTTCACTTCAGGAAGCCTGATGGGAACAGTATGTATGACGCCAAAGTCAGATACCGTCCTAGAAGACGTCACCACCCACGGTAGGTGCTGTGTAGCCACTCCCTAAGGCTCTGCCTGTGGGGCACTGACAGCCCAAGGGTGGGGCCAGTGTGACAAGCAGCACCCTCTACAGGTGCTTTGTGGAACTGCAGTATCTAGACGCCAACTGATGCACGTTGGGAAGGCGGGCCTGGCACTTACTAGAAGATGAAGACCACCCTCCTGCGGTGTGGTTACAGGACTGCGAAGTGTTAAGCTGAAGGAGGGCAGGGGGCAGTGGAGGGGGTCCTCAGGTGTAAGAAGAAAACTATTCCATGCAGCCAAAATAAAGATGCCCACGTGAGAAGTCCAGCAAAATCGCAGCACTTACCAGCACCAGGATGGTTGCGATCAGACGTGTTGGCTCGAACATGCGCTTCAGCTGTTTCAGGGGCCCCATGAGGAAGATGGTACTAGGAGGCAAAGACACACGTGAGCCGCTCAGAGCAGAACAGAACCACAGCAGGCACACGGAGTCACCTCCCGAGACCTCCTGGGGCAGCAAGAGCAGGGAGGGCAGATGACGCTGGAAAGCCCCGTGCAGGCCCCCTGGGCATGGCTCTCACTCAGTCCACCAACCCACAATCACCACACTCACCCTGCACAGGAGGACACTGAGGGCCAGGGCTTCCACATCCAAGGCCACTTGACCAGTGAAGGAGAGAGCTGGCTGTGGGTGTGGGTCTGTCCCTAGAGCCACACTCACACCCCTAGGTTAGACAAGCCCCCTCTTAGATGCCCCTTGACAACCTCCCCTTGAAACAGACAAGCCAAAAGGCTCAGAACAGGCCTTCCTTGGTCAGAACTAGAGCATCTTCTTTCATAACCTCCAGGGAATCATTTCAATGATGATGTCATCTGTCCCTTGTTGAATGTCTGCTAAATACCAGATAATACTACACACTTTTTCTTTCATTCCCTCAAAACCCTTGAGTTCATATTACACTTATTTTAGAGATGTGAACAATAAAGCTCAGAAAGGTTAATTTGTTTATCTAAGATCACACAGCTTGGAACCAAAGGAGCTGGCATTCACCCCCAGGTATGCTAGGGACACCAAGCATGCTTTCCAGGTGACCAGAACCTGAGAGCTTGGGAGGGGGAGTGACCTCACACGAAGCAGACTCTCCCACCCAACACCCCAAGTGCCAGGGTCGGCATTCAGCCTCATTTCCCGAGTCCTACAGGGTGTCACTACAGTGGGAGCTCAGGACAGCTAGTCCTGGACACAAGCCAACCAGCAGATGGCATCAGCTACTGAGCCTTCAATAAAAACAAGAACTCCCAAAAGCCAGGCCGCCTCTCTGAGTGCCCTTCAGCTGCACCCTGAATTGCAGGCTGTGCTCTCAGCTCAGGGTGTAAGCCCACAGGGCACCTCCTCAACAACACACTGTAGGAAGCCACAGCCAGGCCGGTCCTAAACACCACAGCAGCAGACACAGAAAACAGCACAGATGGTAGGCAAAGCCACAAACCTCTGGCAGCAGCCAGGAAATCACCATTCGTTCCCTATTCCCTGTCAGTGCCACGAAGGGTCCTCCCCGTCAAGGTCTGCTGGGACGCTCTTCTGGACTAAGCAACATACCACGTACCCACGCTCAGTGCAGGCCACACTGTCCACCAAAGCACAGCCGCCTAAGGACGGTCAGTATCTGAGAAGGCTTTAGCGGCAACGGCGACACCTCTCAGGCCAGAACGTCCTGTCAGAGCATCAATACACCAAGCTTCAGGAAGGTGCCCAGAGCCATGATTAGACCATCATTCCACCTTTTCCTACTGCACACAGAGCGGGGTCTGGCACAGCGGGGGACCAGGGAGCCACAGGCACAGCCCTTGACAAGTGGCTGACAGTGACAAGTTGGGGTGATGGATAGCTGTAAGCACAGATGGCACAGCCGGAGTCCAGAGGAGACCGTCCATTCTGGGCAAGAGGGAATTGGGAAAGGTCTTGCAGAAGAGGGAACGTGGGGCCAGGTCGTAACAAGTGGACAAGTACCCCCAAACCCAGGGAGGCAGGGACGGGCAGCAACCCAGGCAGAGGAAACAGCCCCCACAAAGGCACAACAAGGACAGAGAAACCGAGGGAGTGAGCCTAGCTGGGGTGGGGCAGGGCACGTCGCATCTCAAGGGCCTTGCTTGGACGCAGGCCGAGGAGTTTGTATCCCTGAGTAGAGGAACAGGGAGCCACTCGAGGGACTGCAGGTGGTCCCTCCCAAGTGTCCCCTTCCTTATCCTGCATTGACATCAGCCTACCAGGTGCGTCTGACTGGCTGACCCAGGGGCTCCATGGGCCAGGACCAACCTGTACCTGTCACTGCAGCCTCAGAGAGGCTAACCCAAGGAGAACAGAAGTCCACTAGGGACAAGTGGCCATGGGGACAGAGGAAGGAGACAGGTAAGAGAGGTCAGCACCGAGCCTGGGGCCAGGAACTTGGACCCCGGGACTCCAAAGCCATTTTCGGAGACACAAAGGAAGGGCAGGAAAGATGACCAGGTTCAGGCTCCTGCGGGCCATTCCGGCAGAGGCCAGGCCCACGCTGCCAGCTGGGAGGCAGCCCAGGCGCGGTCAGCCCAGGCGCGGTGGACCTTCAGCGTGGTGAGCTCTGCCCCCTCCAGCCACCCTGCTGCGTGCGCTGACACCCGGGCCTGGGATGGCCTGGCACCACAGGATAACCAGCTTCACCTGCAGCTGGGGACGGTCTGCAGTGGGAGCAGAGAGTGTGGGAGTGACCCCTCCCACCACGGCCCTGAGCAGCCTTCATGCCCCCACCCCTGCTCTCTTAGCCACAGAAAAGGAGGCGGTGGAAGGGGACTTGGAGAAGTCACTCAAGCACAGCTTGCCGGTTCCCTGGTGCACAACCCAGGACTGATGCGTTTCCTGCTTTCCCGGGGTGCTTCGGAGGTGTTTGGAGACAGGTGTTCTGGAACAGCAGGCTGTGAACGCAATACACTCCAACCACCTCTTCAAACCCTTAAAACTCCTGGAGCACTCCATCACCTCCCTGTCACCTCCCCGAGCACCATCCACCCCGTTTTCCCATCTAACGATGGATCAAGGTTACGTTAAACAGTTGTTACCTCCCAATGGATGCGATGTTACCAAAGGTGTAAAAGACCGCGAAGAGGGTCAGTCCCTTCTTGGGCACCCACAGCAGCAGAGTCCCCTGGAAGTAAAAGCACAGCACTGGTGTCAGAGTGGCCTCTCCCACCACAGCCCTGAGCACCCTTCATGCCCCCACCCCTGCTCTCTTAGCCACAAATTTGAGAAAATAAAAGAGAAAAGGAGGCGAGTGGAAGGGGGACTCAGCAAGGGAGGTTCAGGGGAATCTTACCAGCAGGGAGCAGAGAATCCCGACGGCAAAACACGCGATGAAGCCTTTCACCCTGGTGCCCCAGCTTAGCGAGGAGGCCTCCACAACCTGGAATTCAAACACAGTGACACAGATGCACACGAGGACCTACCAAAGTCACAGCAAGCACAAAAGTTAGAAGTGGCATTAATCTGTGACTAGGAAGGCAGGGGAGACAGGATCCCAGGTGCCCACAGCTACAGAAGGGCCTCAGTCCAGCTCTCCTCGGGGCTGCACACCCTCCAGACCAGTCTCCTCTCCAGTAGCTGCCAGGAGTGTCCTGTGCCTCAGAGGAGCATCTCCAGAGACAGCGATTCCCGTCTCAACAAAGCCAGCAAAGCCAAGTGCAGCCAAAGCCTCCCACATCCAGCAGCAGTACCACAGCTGGAAAGGCATGAGATCCACCAGACAGGGCCCCACCACTTGGGCAGCAGGGTCCCCCTCCCCTTGGTCCATCAGCCCAGCTGCAGCAGCTGCTGCTCCTGAGGCACTGGGACTTGGAGTGCAAAGGCCGCCACCCTCACCAGGACTCATCTGCAACTCTGTTCGCTCTCTACATACAACTGTAGAGGCTGTATTCACAGGGTGGGGGACAGATCATCAATGCCCTGCTTGTCCTGCCGCTATGCCATCACGATTGGTCCCCTTCCAGAGCAAAGTTCAGGGGAAGTCAAGGTTCCAGAAAAACTCAGCTGAGTCAGGACCTTCGAGCAGCTCCCAACCCTTCTCCTGATGCAAGAGGGCAAGCCCCTTCACAGCTGGACACAGGCAGCTGCCACCAGAGACCAGACCATGGCAGGGCAGCAGGAGCTGAGTGTATCCACACAGTGCTCCCCTGTGAGGCCAGAGACTCCACCCAAAAGAGTGGTGAGGGTGCCTCCCACACTTCTACCTCTCATGTAGGCAGACAGGTGGTGGCAGAGGCTGCAGGGATCTCTAGACGGGCCAGGCCCTCAGTCTTGATTCCCTCTGCTTAGGGACCTGCTTTCAACCTGTCAAACCAGAAGCTTGAAAGGAAAGAGCAAAGGCCCCGGTTTGGCAGGTACTACTACAAATGGCTTACTTGTCACTCAGGACGATTAAGTTGATGTCATCAGAAGGGTCCTCTTCCCACTCCCAGGTAGTCACATGACTGAAACTGGGCTGGTGACCGCACCACACAGAGCACTCACAGAAACTTGCAGCAACATAGGACCTGCAGAGGCACAGCTGGCCTGGGACACACAGCAGGAAGCCCACACTGGGACCTGACAGAGGAGCCACCTGTGCCCATGCTGGGGATACCCCTCCTCCTCCAGGAGTCCACGTCTTCAACTCCCTCTGGCTCCAAGGTGAGGTATCTGGGGCTCTGCCACCAGGCTTTACTGGGCCCAGACGATCGAGTTAGACAACTTCTAACTCACCCATGACACCACCCTCCATGGTGAGAATAAATGACACTCCACACTCCTCCTACCAGCGCAAAACCCCAGAACTTGCCTCCCCAGGGGGAGCAGGAGCAAGGAAAGGGCCAGGAGGCTCAGCGGGGATTTGCCCCCCCACCAAGCACCACTCGGCATCAACAGGGATGTTCCAAAGGATCCCACCTTGTTTTATCAAGAGGATAAACCATAAGGTTAAATGTTAGATTTGAACTGGCCTCGACATTCAGACAGAACTGAAGAGACTCAGGAGGTCAGTAAGATTCCAGCCCTTGTAAAACTCAAAACACTGGCAAGAGAAGGTCGTTCTGCCGAAAATCTGTTTCTGGTTCTTCCTTTCAGGATGGAGAGTGACACCTGGTCTCCAGGTCCCTCAGGGGACTCTATCCAAATGTTACTTTTTTTGCCAAAATGGGTGACTGGGGGTGAATTTTCACCACTGTTTTCCATGGCCTGTGGCTGCAAGGTCTTTCCCCTGCACATTTGCTGCTCTTCTTCTCCCAAGTGGACTCTGAAAGCAGACTCACTCCCCTTCCGCCGTGTGTGAAAGCAACTGTCTCTGACCACAGCGGCTGGAAGCTGTGCTAGCCGGCTTCTCTGGAAGTTAGAGCAACATAACACGGTACCTGGAGAGAGGCTGCAGGCAACCTGCTCACTCAGTGCCAGCAGTCGGGACAAAGGTCCCTTTGACTCCAGGTTGTGGAGCAAAGAGGGCTCTGGCCAAGAAATACAGCCGAGAGCCGCTCAGGGAGATGGGCCTGCCAACAGTAGGGAGCGGCTTTCCCCGTTTTAAGGTCGGCGCCATTCATTCCTCCCTTGCCCCGGAATCCTTTGTAGAAAACACAAAACCTACACTCGCAGAAAGAAGTCCACTGAGGCGAGGCATCAATTAGAGAACTGGCCAGGAGGCTCCTGATGAGACACCCACGCAATCTTCACAGCTCCCTGGAGGAAGGGGGACCAGAGCAGGGCCACTCGTGCTCTCTTTTATGATTTGCATTTAAACAATTAAAAAAACTAAAACACCTCTGGTGACTTCTGACAAGTCATGATTGGATTTGAAAAGATTTGTAAGGCCACCTAGTCCAACGCACCACACAAAACAGAAATTTCACCACAGAAACCTCCATCATTGCCAGCCTCAAAATCACGGAAAATGTGAGTTGATCACATTTTTGGCCCAGATTTAAAAGACGCCCTGTCCTGATAAGTGAAAACTAAGCCAAAACAGCTCTAAAAACAACTCAGTTGGCTAAAAATGTTTCCAGGGCTTCAGGCCTCCGGAAGCGCCACACCATGATGCACATAAACAGGAATCTCACTCAGAAAGAGGAAACTGAGTGTTTCAGAACAAAGCAAGAGCACCTAATCTTTCACAAACAAATGCAGCCTGTGCCTGTGCTTCTCACTGTGCCACAGGCAGCACTCAGCACCTAGGACAAAACCCAGGCACTGGTGTCTCTCAGATGCACGCCTCAGGGGCGCCAGAGGTCTCCTGCTGCTCCAGGAGGATTTCTTGAACCATGTGCGCGGCCTCACTGTCCACACTGCAGGCCTCACTGTCCACACTGCACCCGCAGAGTCCAGAACAGAAAGCGGTCCCTCTTCAGCCCCGGCTGCTCCAGACAGCTTGTCCACAGCCTGCCCGGCGCACGTCTGCAGATGAGCAGCAGGGTCAACCACCAGGGCACAGCTTTCTTGGGCCCTGTGAGGTTCCCCTTGGTGCATCTTGGCGTGGCGCTTCCGGAGTCCTGAAGCCCGGTGGTTCCTGGCCAAGAAATACAGCTAAGAGGCCAGAAAACAAGAAAAAAGGACACACGAAGGTACTCCGGAGCCCTGGCCAGTTAACAAAGGCACCACCCAGCTGTTGTGAAGTGTCCAAAAAACAACACAGTGGACCCACATTCCTCCAACACGGGACTCCTGGTGAAGATTCGGGAAGCGCGTTTTACACTGAGGTTCCCTGGAGAGGGCGCAGGTACCCACAGCAAACGAAGCTCGGAACGCACGGGCCGCAGGGAGGAGGAAAACGCGCTGCTGCAGTCGGGGGCTGGTCCCGGGAGCGCGCCCACCACCGCCCTCGCCTTCACACCGAAAGCCCGAGTCGGTCTTCCAGCGGGAAACCAAAACAGAGACCCCCGCCCTGCGCGCTGCCCCGACTCGGGCCTGGTGCGGGCCTCGGCTCCGTCGAACCGTTTCGAAGAAAACAACAGGCCGGCGTCTCCCGAGGGACGCAGTCCACGGAGAGGGGCGCGGGCTGTGGACCGAGCCGCCGGAGGGGCTGGCCCCGTCCCGGGAGTTCTCGGCTTCACCGCGCACCAGCTTCGCCCCCGCGGCCACCGCACGGGTCGGTGGGCGTGGCGCCGCCCGCAGCCGACACCCGCCGCGGCCGCGCCCCCAGCCCCTCCGCGGCCTCTGCCCCGCGAGGACTCGCCGCCGGCCGCGCCGCGCTCCCCGCTCAGGGCCGGGCGGAGGGCTGCAGGGGCGCGGGCGCCCAAGGACGCGGCTGGGCGCACCTGCGGCGGCGGCGCGGCGGGGCCCACAGAACAGGAGGGACTCGGGGCAGGGCAGCCTCCCAAGAAGCCCGGAGGCCTGTGGCTCCCGCCCGCGTCCGCAGGGCCAGCGGGGCGGCGGGGGTGGCAGCGGGAGCACTCACCTCCGACAGGCCGCTGCGGTCCTCCGCGTCCTGCCCGCTCAGCACCTTCTTCAGCTTGTCCATCCCGAGCCCGGGCCGCGCCGGCTCCAGCCGCGGCGGCCGCCTGTTGCGCTCACTCCGCCAGCGGCCTTCCGGGTGCTGGGCCGCCGCCCCGCCCCGGGCCTGCCCACCTGCTGCCCGGCGTGCCCTGCGGCCGCGCCGCCCCAGGACCTGCCCACCTGCCGCCCAGCCTAGACGCCAGCCCACCTGCCGCCTCGCCCTGGGACCTGCCCACGTGCCTTCAGCCTCGCCAGGAGCCACCTGCCGGTCGCTTCGCCCAGGAACCGGCCCACTTTCCTTCAACCCCGCCCAGACGCCTGCCCACCTGCCTTAAGCCCCGCCCAGGACCTGCCCACCTGCTTAAGCCCCGCCCAGGAGCCTGTCCACCTGCCTTAAGCCCCGCCCAGGGACCTGCCCACCTGCCTTAAGCCCCGCCCAGGAGCCTTCCACCTGCCTTAAGCCCCGCCCAGGCGGCTGCTCCCCTCCTTCTGGCCCCGCCCAGGGACCGTCTCACCCGCCTGGGCGCCCACCTGCGTGTGCCCTGTGCCCGCCCCGCCCACCCCGTCGCGTTTCGAAGGAGGGAGGCGGCAGAAGAGCAGAGGTTAAAGTTGAACTGGCTTGGCCAAAAGCCAAGTCTGTCCAGCGCCTTGTTCCAAACCTAAAATGGCTGCCCTCCTTCGTGCGGTCTTGTGAACAAATGCTGCGGTTAACCCAGTGTGTCCCATCTTCCCAGATGTGAACACTGGAGACTAACAAATTTAATCTGTTACAAGCTTTGTGGAAATGTAAAATTTTAACAAATGATTTTAAAAAGCAACACCACTATAATTCCAGCTACAAATGCATTAAGAGGTTTGATTTGGTTAAAATTGGGGAACTGATGGAGTAGAACTTGGCTGAGAGAAGGAATCTTCAATACAAGATCATAAAACATCACATTCTATCTATGTGAAATATCCAGAATGGATAAATTCATAGACAGAAAACAGATTGGTGATTCCCAGGGGTTACAAGAGGGAAAAAGAGAAACTACTTAATGTGTCTTATTCTGTTCAGTGCTATAACAAAACACCATAAATGCGTGGGCTTATAAACAACAGAAATTTCTTTCTCATGGTTCTGGAGGCTGGAAGTCCAAGCTCAGGTTTCCAGCACATTGGTGTCTGGTTCTAGGTGTCCTTCTTCTCCCTGGGTCCTCACAGCGTGTAATGGTGAAGGAATCTCTCTGGAGTCTCTTTTCATAAGGCACTAATTCTTCATAACCTAATCACCCCCACGAGTCCCACCTCCAGACATATCACAATGGGAATTACAACATTCAGTCTGCAGCACTGGACTGGACTTTGGAGTGCTGGAAATGTGTTGAACTAGACAGAGGTGGAGACAGCACAATACTGTGAGTGACCTGAATACCACTGAATTGTTCGTTGTGAAATAGTTATGCAAATTTCACCTCCATAAATTTTTAAAGAGAAGAGATGGGGAGGAGAGGAAGAAGGGAAGGAAGGGAGAGAAGTAAAGGTTGGCCTGGCAGTGCCACCACCACAGCAGGCCAGGTAAGAGAACGCCTCGCGTGGAGCAGCCTGTGCCAGGGAAGGGTGGAGGCCCAAGAGGTCCTGGGAGAGGGAGCCATGCAGGGCAGTCAGGCTTCCTCTGGCTGCCGGGCTTCTGCCCTTAATAGGGCACCCCGATGGGAGCAAGCTCCAACCCCACCACCAGTCCTGTGGGGCCTGGAGCAGTCACTCACACGGCCACCCTGCCCTCCTCACCCACTCCTGGGAGGCCTGGACAGCCCCGCGCTCCAGACCCCGTCCTGCACAGGGTCCACCCCATCCACCTGTCTCGAAAGCTCTGTGACCCCCATGATGGCCAGATGGCTTCTCTCCTTTTAAATGAACACAAGGGCTAATTATTCTTCCAGGAATTGGGAGCTGGGCCTCGTCCCCTCTGAAGACTACAGACCCACCCCTCCCTGGAGCCCCATTCTGTAGTTCCTTGGTGGCAATTCTCTCCCAAAGGCCAGTGACACCTCCCTCACCAGGGCAAGAAAACGCTCTCCAGCGGCCCCCACTGCACAGCCCCCCTGCACCCCTGCCTGCCTGCCTGCCTGCCTGGGCTCTGCCCATCATGGGCCGCCCACATCAAACCCTGCGTGTGCAAGGGAGATCCCCTTCACTGTCACCTCCACCCTCCGTTCTTTCTCAGCCCCACGTCACTTGCTCCATGAAGGAAGACTGCAGTCCTTCCTGAATGGCCTCCCGCCTTCACCCTGCCTCCACCACAGCTTCATCATGGGCCACAGTCAGCCAGTCCCACTCCTCACTTAAAACCTTGGCTGTCACCGAAGGCTGGCCTGGAACCCTTGGAATGCGGCACCCCGTGATTTAGGCATTGTGTTTTGCTCATAATTGCTCAACTAACACTTACAGGTGGAATTTAAACACGTTAAAATTTCAAACGTATTCATGCACATATCAAGTTCAGATCTCCAGTCGTCGGTGTGCTCTGGGAGCCCAAGAGAATGGGAGTCGCAGGATTTCAGCACTGATCGTACTAGGAACCAAGAGTCCTTCTGGTGCTGCTGTATGCAGACCATCTCAGGTAAGAGCTTCAGAGGCAGTGGGTGGAAGGCTCCCGTCCTGGGGTCACACATGTCACGCATGTCTCTCCTGCTTGTCCTTTCACGGCTCAGGTTTAGGTTGCTCCTCTGCAGCTGGAAAAGCAGAGGCTATTGTCCTAATTGAGTTTTCATGAATGATGACGCGGGGTCTTGACCAGTTAAAGCACTTCCTCTGGGTCTCTGAGGCTCTCCCCTAACCTGGAATCCTCCAGAGGCTGTTGTGGAAGGCTGGCTGGTGACGATGCTGTTTGAACCAGGGCCGGGCAGTAGATGTGAAGAAACGACCCTGGTTTCTTTTCATACATGCTTAACCACGCAGCTTCCCTCAGTGATTCATGAAATACCAACCTTTCCCCGTCTCTCCTAGGAACACAAGTCTAGTTGTCCCAGGACAACACACTTGTCACTGAGGCCTGTACTTGCCTATAGGCCTCAGATTGTCCCACACAGAAGAGGAGCCTGGTCCATTTATACTCCCATCCACGGTGAATCTCTCTGGGGATGTTTTGCTGCAAGTTTACCACAACTTGAGAGAATGAAAGCAGGGCAATGGCCTGGTCACACTTGGCTTTTCAAAGGTCCTTCTGGTCACACTTGGCTTTTCAAAGGTCCTTCTGGGGATGGTGTGGCACAGAGGACCCCCTGGAGACATTTATGAAACCTACTTGAACTGGCACGGTAGAACAGGGCATAGAGGGAGCTGGGGCACTTGTACTCTGTGTACCGTCTTGGCCTGATTTTGGACTCAAATGCAAACACTGGCTGCTCTTGGCTCTCAAGCCTGCTGGACTGTGGACTGGAACTCACACCACCAACTCTCGGGGCTCTCAGAACTACAAACGCTACGTCATAGGCTCCCTGGGTCTCTAGTTTGCTGACTGCAGACTTCTCAGCCTCCATAACACACGAGCCAATTCCTTATAACATATGATGATAGATACTCTTCCTTAAGTAGCTCCAATTTCTGATATATCCTTTTTATTTATTTATTTTTTACTCCAAGAACTTTTTAACATTTCTTATAAGGCAAGACTCCTGACAAATTCCCCCAACTTTTGTTTTTCTAAGAAAGACCGTATTTCTTCTATAATTTTGAAAGCTAATTTGAAAGGACATAGAATTGTATGTTGTCATTTTTTTCTCTCAACCATAAATATTTTATTCCACTCCTTGCTTGCATGGTTTCTGAAAAAAAGATTGCAAATTTTATCTTCACGGTAGTTATCTTTTTCCTCTTTCAAGACTTTTAAAATATGGAGGGCCTGGTTGTAGTCTTTTGGCATTTATCCTGTGTGGTACTCTCTGAGCTTCCGGGAGCTGTGCTTTGAGATCTACATTTGTCTGAAGGCCCAATCCTTGTTGCTTTAATCATTTCCTGTTCCTTCCTTTCTGTGTTCTTCTGGTATTCCCATTATGCTCACGTTACACCTCCTACTGTAGAAGGCTGTCCTGCCATCTGGGATGGTCTGTGGATATTTCCCTCTCTTTTATTTTTTTCTGCTTTGGAAATCCCTGTTAACATGTCCTCATGTCAGGGACATGTTCAGGGATCTTTTTCCCAACCATGTAGTTTGTTTTCAGTTGTGATTCTCTACTCACCTGGAGGTCTCTCCAGTTCTGGGGGTAGCAATTTGCCTGTGACATCACTTTGAATCCAAGAGTGGTTGATTTTTCAGTTGGTTCGGCTTTCCCTTGTTAGCATAGAGTGGGGACTGCCAAAGTCCATACAGGCGGACACTTATTCCATTGTGTTCTTGCTCGGATAGTTCCTACCAAGAAGTCTGCTTAACTGTTTCTTTTCCTGCCTATAATGATTCTTTTTCTTCTGTCATCAAGACATTTACCACTACTTTGGTTTCAACTGTTTGACTTATGATGTGTGGGACTTGTGTGAAATTCTAGCACCTACAACTTCCTTCACCTTGGACAGTTCTTGGCCATTCTCACTTGGTATTTCTTGCCCTAGCCTGCCGGCTTCCTCGGGGACTGATTTTAAACTATTTACTTTGTCCCACAGTTCTCTGATGCTCTGTGCTGTTTCTCCACCTCTGCTCTCATCCCTCACTTTAGATAATTGTTAGGAACCTTTAAGTTTGCCAATTGTTTCTTTAGCTGTAACAAGTTTTGTGAAGGATTTTCCCTGATATAGTAGACTTGCTTGGTTTATTTTTCTAATTTCCATTTGACTCTTTTCTTATCCATTTCTCTGCTCAAGTTTCTAGTTTCTGATTTCTCACTAGATATATTAATATACATCTTAAATTCTAATAGTGCAATATCTGTTTGACCTCTGAACTGGGTTTTTATATTAAAAGCCAGACATCACGTGTGTTACAGAAGGAACGATGCCAACTGTGTTTACAACTGGCAATGTGTCCCCTTCTGTCAGATCACTGGTTTGGGATCACTGATGCAGACAGGAGTTCGATGGGTTGGGACTGGACTGTTGCGCCGCAGGCTTCAAATCCCTTCAGAG